CATAACATGCTTTTTTTTCTTTAAAATTTACACCAAATTTAGCACCGACAGTAGAGCGACATCCATAAAGCTGGTGTTTCTGTAATCTTGTTACTGCCAGTGGTTTTTCTCGATCCTAATCGATGCATTTATACATGTAGAATATGATGAAATAAATAAACTTTATACTATAAGGTGTGTATATTGGTGAGTGAATGGCTTGCATATAATTTATAAAAATAAACAGATTGAAATGTTTTGGCTAGATAAATGCCACATGTTTAAAAAAATGCTTAAATTTATTCCAATCCACTTGTCAGTTAGAGAAATCAAAAAAAAAAAAATTTGTTGACTAAGCTGATTTGAATACAATGCATACATACAGGCCAATGACCTACTATTTCAATATGCCAGCAGTCTAAGGCTCGACACCCAACACAGGATTTCACAGAAAAAGAGCAAATGGGAAAACAAAAAACAAATTAAAAATTATTAATTCACATTATTATGTGGCCAGTAAAATGACATACCCTGGTACATGTACTTTATACTAGTCTCTTCAAATTTATTCAATTTGTTTTTTAAGTTTACAAATTTAACAGTCCAACAACGTACAATTACAACATTGACATTACAAGTTTTACAGTGTTTCCACCGGGAAAAAGTAGCACTGGAGAAGGTTGTGCCTGGTAATTTGAAAGATTAGGATTCTGTCATTTTGTGTTCACAACAGCAGTATTTCCAAGAAGCATTGAGCAATAATTGACACATTGGCAGCCCGCCTGTGTCAACATAAAAGAACACTAAATAGATGTAGATGTGAACAAGGTAATTGTAGCTTTATGCAAATTATGTTCAATTTAGTTTAGGATTTACATTGGATTTTAAAAATCTCATTTGCATATGTATTTAGTTACAATGATCTACCACATCAATAATTATTGATTTTTGAAAGTTCAATTATAGCATTTCAGTGGGCAAATTGAAGCATGGTAATACCACCTTGTTTAAACTGTCTGGCGAGAACAATGGACTATATCATGATACACAAAAACATCAAATCAGACATAATAAACAAGATTAGAAGTGTTCCAATCACTTGAAAAATCAACTATTTACGAAGTTATAGTTAGCCTTATATATGGGTTGTTGACGTGCTTATTCGAATATAAAAGTAAATCAATGATGAGGGGAGGGGAGGGGAGGGTCATAGCTAGTAAACATCAACAATTCCATAATCAGTATTGCACATAAACACATTCAGCCAAACATGTTCAGTCTGACCTACATTTTATATCAAGTTCTCAAACAGCAACATTAAATTACACGCGTAATAAGACCATTGCGATAGAACGTCACAATACCGTTGCAAAACTGTTACGCCGGTAGCGTCAAACAAACGTTTACAGGCGCTTAGGAGAATGTCTCCGTGATAACGCATAATGTGTAAAAACTACAGGTTAGGTAGTCGACGGAAACGCTCGTTTGCTCCGACTCTTGGCAGTCTTAACCTTTATAAGCACTGGGAATGACGTACACTTGCAACACATATTCCAATCACCTTCATGCGAGATACTTACATACGGGAGGCTCCAAGTTCAATTCTCGGTCAAGGCGTATATTTTCAGGGACCACTTTCCGTATGAGCTCATCCGTGCTCTGCAATGAATTTATCAGAGTAAAGTCACGTATATTCAACCACAAAGCGAAAATTGATTATTAAAAACAGTGTTCAACATTTATTTAGCATAACAGAGCTGTTACGTACATATAGGTGGATACAAAACTTCGAGCAAACTGCGTACACTTTCGTTTTGTGCGTGTGTGAGTGTTTGTTTTTTTTCTCATTGGTATTGTTGGAGTTTGTATTTGTACTGTAGTACTGACGGTGACTGCAGTGAAGGATAGAGAAAATAGGTCGGCATTGCAAAGCAGACCACGATCGCGGTGAATAACAATACACGTCAGACTCATTGTTTCCCTAATATGGAATATCGGATGATGGTAATTGGCGCAGTGCGCAAAACCGCTTAGAACCGGTGAAACATCTTACCTTTAAGCCTAAAATGTCAAGCATCTTGCTCCTCTGTGCGGCACTGGGCCCGATGTGCCTATCGCTAAAGTTATCGTGTCGAGGGTATAATTTGTCGACACCCGTCGACGCCGGGGAACAGCTGAAATTACGCACAAAATGGATGGATGTAAACTTCGCGGGAAATCCCTTGCTCAGACGGTCGCGAATTTGCGGTACAGTCCGCGAGGCCACGGCAAACTTCGACGTTCTGTACATATTGTGGTATCTCACAGAGCCTGCAATTGACAGATGGTAGAAATTGCCGCCCGCTTTCAACGAGAGAACAGTATTTTTTCAGCCGTACAAGCTGCGCTCCGGTTTAAAATGGAACGATGGAAACTGAGTGTGTCAAAGTAATGAACAATCCAAGTCATGTGACACGTTCCATGATCATGTGACCGATCACAGTTCGGTCAACCAATCAGAGAACATATAACGTGCGGCGCTGACACACCCCCTTGTTTACGCCATCAGCTGATGCACTGGCTCTTGTCCGCGAGCAACGACCACTTTCCCTCCCGTTAAAACTCACAAGGTTACATTTTCAAGGTCGCCATTGTTTTTTCAGGTTATCGACCGATCGGCAAGCGTACTGACTCAACGATATAATGTTTTTCCATGTATTACTACATTATTCGGACTCAGACGGAACGTGCTGCGCGACGGCGGAGATTGATTACATCGGTGGAGCTAACGGTTATCTTTAGAATAAACTATCACCCCTTTCTACTTGTTTTTCGGAAACCAAGCTCCTCGCTAGATTGGTTCACAGACCCCAGAAAGGAACTTGAAACCATAAACCTCAAAATTGTTATTATAAGGTATATGTTTAAACACATTTCACAAATAATAATAATAACTTCGTAAAGTTAAAATACATAATTATTGTATCATGAACAATATCTCAATTAAAGATACGTTTGTCAATGCAGATTACAGCAAAAAATGTACAAAATCAACCATGGTTTCGGGTGACATTATATTATCGTGGCGGTGGACATTTAGCTGTCTGATTTAGTTCCGTGTCACGTCGCGCTGTTATGTACATGCCGTGTACCAGTAAACCATGGAGCTCCATGCAGTAAACATAAATGATGACCTTTGACACGAACACGAGACACCTAAATACGGGGATTCACAGAGCACGTGAGCTAACAATAATAATAAATTAAGGGTTCGACCTTTATTAACTCTGGGGAGGGGTAAAATTGTACAAATGGCTGCTATAACAACCCGACCACAATTCCAGATCCCAGGGATGTGTCTCGTCGGGGTTTTGAGTGCAAAGTAACGAACGGATCATGCGGGCATAGATACAGATGGGACGATGCGAACTGTTGTTGCGCCGTATTTGGTCGATCGATATCACATGCCATCAGATGACCCATGCCAAAAGATAACTGGACATTGCTTGAGATCAAATGTACGTTTGTCTTGAAACGAAACCAGAATTTGAACAGGATTCAGTCTACTGTACTTGACGAAACGAATCCTGGTCATTTTCACGGCTTTTGTTCCAATATACCGGTAATCGTAAAGGTATTTATGATCTCCGTGTTGCGTATAATCACAGTCCCTCTATCATGATAGAGGGACTGTGGTATAATAACGCATTTCGTTCATTCCTTGGACTGCCCGGGATTGTAGCGTTAGTGGTATGTTTGTATCGTCCAACATTACTACATTTGACGCTCATAGACGAAACGTGTTTTTTTCACTGTTTACCCGTCTTACTAAAAGTGATAATAATATCGTTGTAGTGCTTTTTATCACCTGACACGATTTTAGGTTCGAAGTTTAATGTTCTGTACCGTAAATTTACGTATACGCCAATGCTACTCTAGAGCAGTAACTGAAACACGGGCGTTCACGGCGCGTATACCGCACTATTACTTTCACTACTACCACTGGGTATATACTCAATTTTTCGGTAATGACGGGGCTTGGGCAGGATGTTCGCTCAAACAATGGCCTGCGTCACGCTAATTATAGTAGTGTACATCCTCGCATGGAGGTATACTAATTATTACCTCCATGATCCTCGTCTTGACATGCTATTTAAATATTATAAATCATCATTATCACAATACAATAGTGCGAACCTTCATTCGCAAGTAAATTCGTAGAAAAAATAAAAAAAATCCCCAAACTAGTAGTAATTGCGAAGGATGATGGATGGCAAGATAATATACGGCGATTCAATATTGGTGTTATAAATCAGCGCCATATACCCGGTATATGTGTTAAAAAACGTCCCAATCACAAAATTGATGTAGTTTTTCTTCTCGTCGCCACCTTAATATAAAATTGTGAGTTTTAACAGACATATTATGCTGTAACAAGGGCAATACAAGACATTGTCATCTTTATTATTGAAACTTGTATCCCCTTTCACAGTTATCCTGTATCCGCCCCATATATAACAACTTGAAGTATAATGATTATTCATTTTATTTTTATAATATATTTTCAGCCCATACTATTACTATATATTCGCTTAATGCGTTGCCGACGATTAGAAACACTTAAGACCCATGAGATCTATTCCATACCAGGACGATAATGTTTAAAATCTAGAGTAAACAAAATTTATTGAATTCATAGAACGCGAACAGGTATGTCGAACCCACTTTGACGCTATAAATCGGCCATACCAAAGGTTGATGCAGATATAAAGACCGGTATTTATAGAACGCCATAAATATTACGCAATGACAATTACCCGCAGTGATTTACGATTTTTGACGCAGGCGATTTATGGTTCTGCCGTTGTAGACAAGGGGTAGATGATGATTTTTGTTGAAGGGTATAAATTACCAAAATTGCCACACGACTGTATAAATCATGATCGAAAATTGAAAAATGTGAAGATAACTTTAAAAATTTTCAACCAAATTTTGCATTTATTTATTTCAAATCAATTATATTGAATCAACAGTTTGTTTATAAATAATCAAAATCGTAATTATTATTATATCTACAATATCTGCATATACACTTTATTATTAATAAATAGTTTTACTTTTGGTTAAATGTTATTCAATTGTGATTTCAGATATAAAGATAATAATTTCTGTATAATTATTTTAAATCTCAATATTTATTAATAATAAAAAAGCTTAAGCTTAAATCTATAAAAAAAAAACGTTATATAAATAAATGCACAAACGGCACCCAATAGTTTTTAAATATACAATGCTTATTAGACAAATACATCCTTTTCCAAAAGTCTGTAGAATTGAAGCTCAGACGCCTTATGTTATCAAGATTCCGTACAACCTCAGACAACGAATACATTAGTATTAGTTGTCTGAAGTAGAACCAAACCATCGCGCAAAAATGTAATCACGAACGGCATACGTAATCACCGTGACCATCATGATAGTAGATATATACAGCAGAATAATAGACACCCCCTCCCCCCCTTTGGAGTTTCATGTTAAGAGTAAAATCGAAACGCAGCAATCCAGTAGTTTGTTCGATAGATTGTAGAAATGTCCATTTTCTTTTCTTTAAGAGCTTTCAGAAGATACATACCACGCAATTAATCATATGCCATTCCAGGAGGCTCATATTGAGGCTGCGCATACAGTGGGTGTTCATGTTTGTTATGCTGCCCTTAACGGCATTTGAGCCGCCTTTACAGCCTGAGACACACATATCTGGCAAACCGAGTCTGGCGCTGATATTGCATTTATAATAGTCTGCATTTTAATCGCAGGCGGGACAGGTATATGATAGACAATCAAACAAAGTGGTAACAACTTTATTGCATAAACAACACACTTTGAAAAGCATGGTATAGCAAGAAAATATGACAATTAATACAAACATGTGTCTGCTGATTAAGATCATTATTATGTTTTTCAGTACCAGAAGGGGCTATTTGTGATCTGATTTGAAGATTTTTATAGAATTATCAGTATCACTTAAAGTTGAAAATTATGAATTGCCTCTCTTAAAAATAGCAAATAAGCGTTCTCTTGTTTTCTTTTGAACAATGCGCTGATTATACACTGAAATTCGCCTTCCACAACGTACTGGTATGGTTTACAGTATTTTTTATTCGAAGCTCTAATTGTCGTAGTTTTCCTACCCATTTCTTTCTTGGAAGTGTGTTCAGAAATTCTTAAAATTTGGTAATAGTTTCTTTTAACTTACGTTTCTTATATCAAATAAATAATAATACGGTGACAATTCCAGTGTTCACAGTTTGAGAAGCAATGATGTCAATACTGACATTAGATATGTATGCAACCTGATATATACTATTAGATCAGCGTAACAATCTGATAATAATCAAATGTAGGTCAAGGCTCTAATCGTTTTTATTTACAGTTGTCTGTGTAATTGGAGGCAAAGTACATCACTGGACTAGGCACAAATTAACTACTGGGCCGCCGTGTTGCTGAAATAACGAGTCCGCCGTTTTTTCACAAGTGTCATATTTTTGATTGAATCAGTATAAAAATCGGCATTAGTCTGTCAGGATGATGAACCTCTCCTTAATTAAACACACATGGCAAGTGTGCCTCGGTCGGTGGCCGTCTTACTTAGCAGCCGGGCGGGAGCCCCCCTTAAATTTAAAAGTTACACAGTTTGATAGTTCTTGATGTATGAACACCTTTCCCGCCTATCCATTACCAAATTTCGAATCCGGCGTCGCGGTTTCATGCGTATTGACTTATGAGGGCGCCACCACAGGTTAGTTATACAAATTACTTTGTACAATTCGTTGTCACTTGGTCACCAGATTACGAGCAGCGTTTTGTAATTGTTAGTATTTGCATTTATTCCTAGGTACTTTTTTTTATTGAAACTTTGCAGAATTTGATCAATTTAAAATAAAATAGGCGTGTAGAAAATATCGAACTAATGTGTAATATAATTTCATCAAAAATTGGTGTTATGTGGTGAATTCAGTACCAGTACCTAGTAATTGTTGTTTCATTCTATTGTTGATTTACTAGTGTGATGTCATCATTGACAATGCAGCTAAACAATATCTTGATATATAAATTTCAAATCTTTCAAAACAAAGCGGTGAGACTAATACTAGGAGCTGGCAAAATGGCACACAAAGTGAATATGTTGAATGAAAAATATACCAGACTGGCTGCCTTTTTGTAATCATAAACAAACTGCATAAGGCCAACAAAAAATGTTTTGTTGCCATCAGCGACCGACCAAAAAATATGAAATATCGGGTCGCGTTTTTTTTTTTTTTTTTTTTTTAGTTTTTTTTAAATAGGCCCAAATATTATAAACTCGCCAAAAAAAGTAAAAAAAGTGTTTCCTCTGAAAATGTACGATCCCGGGCCGTTGTTTTATCCCCAGGGTCCCGGGGGGTAAGTGGCGACTTTGAATCTGTTGATCTGTATTTCTCTGACATGTTCCGAATACTATGAAGTCCATATACCTCGGCTATTTACGATACCCTTAGCTTTCACGAATTTAAAAAAAAATATCCGACCGAACCAATTTTTCAATTTTCAACTTGAGGGCAACATAAGTTTTTTTGTTTTTTTTTGGCCTAAAGCTGTACTGATGTAAAAAAAATAACAAGGGATAAGGCACCTGACTATTTAAATACATTTTAACAAGAAATCAAATCCATAATCATTCAATATATTTTACACAGCTTCCATTATAGTACGGCTATGCCAGCTCAATTAAAAGAGGGTCTTTCAAATAATTGTTACTATGTATGTGTTTTAATTTTTTGAAAAAAATGGTGCTTGTTACTTGAGGAGCTACCGAGGATAATTAAAATAATACACAAACAAATCTTTAAGTGCTCAGTATTAATGGCGAGTTTCATCTTTTCAGCTCTATTAAAGTTGTCGCCATTTTATGTAAGTCATGTATGATAATTATTATATTTGAATGTATACTTGGCCGCCAGCGGGCGCACTTGATCGGTGAAACAAAGTGCCGAAAGCAAGGCAGCGATGGCGCATTTCAATTAGTCGAGAAGTTTTGGTAGATTTTAAAAATCTGTATGGATTCTAAGTATATGAAGTTTGAACACATTTTATTCCGACGCGTGCATATTCTATTTTTAAATTATTAGGTGTAGTTTATAACAGCTATGACAACATCTTTTGTCGTCGTCGACATTTTGTATTGATGAAATGACTAACAATCGTCTGGCCCAAAAGCTCTGAGTTCGATCCCAGACGTGATGTAGCGTAGACTCCGTGCACAGACAAGTAACAGTCAGGAACCTTACCGGGAAGGAATAAATACATCATCATATAAAATATGACACAGCTGCCTCACATAAATCAAAATATTGAGATTTAGAACAGAATGGCTGCCAATGCAAACATTTTAAAGTCATGAAATTGTCTTTTTTAACTCGTTTCATTTTTTAATAATTCAGTTGTTTTCGGTGACCCGTATATTTTTTTTCTTCGGATATTACATGTATTATTAACATCTTCTTCGGCTCATGCGTGATATGAAGTAATTAAGTATTATCGTTTTTTGATTGTCATTTAATTGTGCCTTATTTTGATTTTCCATGAAAATTAAATATTTGTCTCTGAAAGAGTCTCGAAAACTAACAAACCCTGGGGGTCAAACGAGATGTGCGATGACCAGACACCAGAATAGGAAGAAATCAGTGGCGACTGAATCAGAATAATTAAGCCGTTTCGACAATGATATTTCTTTTCAGCATGGCCGAATGCCATCTGCCTTGAAACCGTAATGACATAACACACTACTAGTATCAAGGAGAAACTAAACCGGAACTCAATTTAACGTCAGGTGCTTTAGTTAGGCGTCCATTTAATGGCATATATGTGAAAACGACTCTGCCCAAAACAATAAATAATTGCAAAATTCAGCTGGCTGGTCTGATCAATGAAGTACAAAGACAATATGTGTGGCGTCATTTGGCATTATTGACAATAAAACCAGTGGCGGATCCACGGGGGCAGGGGGGCCATGGCCCCAACCCAAACGCATGACGATTCATATTATCTGGATTACGCATAGCTTCTCTGCGATTTACGCTCCGTATATCCAAAGCGAAGCTTGGACCCCCCCCCCCCCCCCAATACATTTTGCTGGATCCGCTGAATAAAACCATAGCTCTTAGGATTGCTACTATAGGAAATTTATTCTGATGATCGGATAAATCAATTAGACTGTCTTCTCTGGGGTATATGAATAAATTAAGCACATGCAATTATTCATTTTGAATTAAAACGTTCACACATTCACGAAAATGTCAACGGCATGAAGGGGTGGCTTTTTTTAAATACTGGAATGAAATTGTACAATTTGTGTATTATTGATCTACCAATGCCCATCCACCGTACACGTTAACCACAATATGGGTCATTTATTAAATCAGTGTACAGCCGGTGTATACTAGTATTTATTGTAAATGTGTTTGTTATTAACGCAATACTAGGAACCATTTGTTATGGGTAGAACGATGTGGTCTATGAATGAACCAGGGACGTCTAGTGTACGGTGGCGCCACCAACGTCCATGTGTATGTAATCCACGATCTCTGACGTGTCTGACGTGTCTGCGCACACGGGCCTGATCAGTCCCCACTTCCGTTTGCAGGAAACAAGCAGTTACATCGTCTGAATGAGCCGCTCTTTCTCGAAATATACCGATCCGGGAAGGAGTAATGAGTCGGTGAGCGTTGTGGCCAAGATGTTCTCGCCGTCACGATCGACCATACGGGAGGCCAACGATCATCTACAGGCGCTGTACACAAAGGTCAACGAACTTGAACACACCATAAAAGAACAAGCCGAGTCGATGATCAACAAAGATGTACAGATGCAAAATAAACTGAAGGAAGTCGCGAGTGGGAAGAACAAGGAGATCAACGAGCTCCGGAGAACACTGGAGTCGTCCGAAGCTCACATGCAACGGATGTTGGCGACGAACCGCGAAAAAGACGCGTTGATCGCCCATCTGCAACAGCGGTGCCAAGTACTGGACGAGCTGTGCCTCAGTAAACCAATACTGGAAAAACTGGTTGCTGCCATGACCAAGGCGGAAAGTCTGAAATCCGTAACCAATACCCACCGAGAGGAGAGAACGTTGCCCAGGCAACATCCGCAATATATCAACAGCGATGCGTCGGGGAATCAGCCGCTCACGAACAATACAATTGCAAGGAATTTCTCAATTT